TTGATTCTATTAATCTGGCAAGTAAAAAATAGTCACAAGAGAGGTGGAAAAATTTTCAAAGATTTATGAATAACTTGAATTGATAAAGTCCTTTGGCTATTAAAGATGTTGGCCCTTTGTCGTATGCATTGTGAATATGCCCTCCTATTGCCCGTTGACTTCTTATGGGGTTAAAAAAAATTTTTTTTCTAAACGGAAATTGAAAACCTTGATAGTTTTTTTTTTTTAATTATTATGTTTCTGGATTTTGAGTCTTGACTGGGAAAGGTTTTTTTTTCCCCCTCATATCTAGTTTAACACACACATATCATTCTTTCACCATTTTATGATTTTAATGTTGAAACTCCTGTGCATGTATAATCTTTCGGTGGAAGGCATAAGAGAGAATTCATTTCCCATCTCCACTTCTCCCCTCTCCAGAGGCCAGCCAGCCCTCTAGTGACACTTTTGCCTACTGTGTCTTTCTCTGTTATTTAAAGATGCTGCTCACATTCCGTGTTTCCAGATATATTTGGGTCTAATTCTGGATGTGTATTGTTTGGTTGATCTGCCCGTTTTGCCTCTAGTATCAAGTAGCTTTTAATAACTACATGGAAACCTTCTGTTCTCTAATTGGTATTCCCAGTCGGTTTAAGAGGATGTGGTATCAAAAGGGAACTGTCTGAAGAGCATGGTAGATTGCTTTCAGATGCAAAACAAAATTACGAAATTATAGGTTATGATGGAGGCAATGAACAAAGAGAGCTTTATAGAAGGTACACTTGGTGAGTTAGAGACCAGCTAAATAATTCTGAAGAAAATAAGGGATGGAAATTATGGGTGAAAATAGTATGAAGCTTGGAAGATGGATGAATTGATTGCTGGATGGATGGATGGATGGATGGATGGATGGATGGATGGATGGGAGGATGGATAGATAGATAGATAGATAGATAGATAGATAGATAGATAGATAGATAGATGATAGGTAGATAGAGACAGATAGGAGGATAGAAGGGTGGGTGGGAAGATGATGGGTGGTTGGGAGGATGAATAGATCAGAGGATGGATGAATGGTACTGGATAGAGGGGATAAGCATTTTCAGAAGAACCAATAATGGAAGGAAGAGAGGAATTAGGCAAAGAAAAGAATATAATATTACTTCCTCTGTGTTTGAGGTGAGAAAAGAGCTGGTGACCAGGCTCATTCTTTACCATTAATCTGATTTTCACTGGAACCTGACTGTAGAATGACTCTGACCAAGGTCCCCTACGACTTTCATGTAGTTCCAGTCAGGCTCCAAGTGTCTGTCTGTTCCCTGGACTTCACCACCAGCTCCTGGCTCCTGTTTTGGACACCCTGTTCTAAAGGCTTTCGGAACACCACATCTCTTGTTTCCCCTCTGTCCTCAAGGGGCTCCTCTCCCTCTGCCCACTCTCTTGGCTGGGCTACCTGGAAGCTTGCCCTAACCCTCTCCATTCTCATGATGTTATCTGTTCTAACTCAGAGGCTCACACTCCCATCTTGTACAGAGGGTATGTGTTGTTGGTTGTTTTTCACTCTTTGGCTCTTTGGGGAGTGTAGCTGGAGAGTTTTCTCTCCGGGTCCCTCCAAACCCCAGCCGTCTGACAGCCCACTTATAAAATAAAGACACAGACGCTTTTATTATTTAAACTGTTTGGCCTAATGGCTCAGGCTTCTAGCTATCTAGTTCTTACATCTTAAATTAATCCATTTCTATAAATCTATACCTTGCCACGTGGCTCGTGGCTTACTGGCATCTTTACATGCTGCTTGTCATGGCGGCAGCTGGCAGTGTCTCCCTCCGCCTTCCTGTTCTTTCAATTCTCCTCTCTGTTAGTCCCGCCTATACTTCCTGTCTGGCTACTGGCCAATCAGTGTTTTATTTATTGACCAATCAGCAACACATTTGACATACAGACCATCCCATAGCAGGAGAGCCCACCACCCAGCTCCCAGATGAATCACCTGGAGTCTTATTCTTTCTTATGAACACCTGGCCTTAGCTTGGCTTGTTTTCTAGCCAGCTTTTCTTAACTTAAATTATCCCATCTATCTTTTGCCTCTGTGCTTTTACCTTTCTCTATTTCTGTGTACCTTTTCCTTCCTTCTTACTTCCCCCGCCCCCAGTATCAGAGCTTTATTAGGAGGAAGGGCGGAGGACAAAAGAGCCAGGCCTGGGGGAAGCATGTGCAGAGAGCAGAGAGAGGGAAAGAGAGATAGTGGGGCCAGAAGGGAGAATAAGGAAGGGCCTTTTCCTTCCTTCTTATTCCGCGTGTCTGGTTCTGTGGCTGGGTGGCTGCCCCATCCCTTTCCACCCCCACCCCCCACCCCTGCATCCTCCTCTCTTTTTCTCACTCCTTCATCTCTTCCCAGATCCCCCGCCCCGTTTATTCTCTCTTTCTGCCAGCCCCGCCCATTCTTTCTCCTGCCTCGCTATTGGCCATTCAGCTCTTTATTAGACCCATCGGTGTTTTAGACAGGCACAGTAACACAGCTTCACAGAGTTAAACAAATGCAGCATAAAAGAATGCAACACATCCTTGCATCACTAAACAAACGTTCCACAGCATAAACAAATGTAACACATCTTTAACTAATATTCCACAACAGGTGTGCTTCTGCCTGGACACATCTACCCTGTACTGATGTCATCACCCTCTTGCCAATGACACCTGGTGTGTGTGTGTGTGTGTGTGTGTGTGTGTGTGTGTGTGTGTGTGTGTATGTGTGTGTGTGTGACTGAATCCAGTTGGCCCCCAGGACCCAACCTAAACTCAGACGTGTCCTTCCTGTGGGCCACCATGGTCCTGCCGTCCACCCAACCTGCACACTGAGAGCAGGGAAACTGTTTGCTTTGCACAGCTAGGCACACAGTGAATGCTAATGGAGTGTGGAAACCTGCAAGCGCATAGGAAGAGGACTTTGGGGGTATTTGCTAGATAAGAGTAATGACCACTTAAAAAGGAAAGAAAAGCTTTTTAAACAGTCTGCCTGCCCTGCGTGTTGGTTTCTCTTCTTTCTGCACAGTACATACTTGCTTGTTTTTATGGTCAGATTATGCTGGGTTTTTGGAAAAACACAAGTATTTAGAACTCAGACCCCACTGTGTCCCAAGGGCCCCACTATTGGGTACACAGATGGGCTATGCGTCTCACTCTGACTGAGGAAGCCTTTTATTCATTTCCCATAGTTGCTGGAACAAATCACCCAGACCTGGGTCCTTAAAACAACACAGATTTATTGTCTGACAGGTCTGCAGGTCAGAAGTTTGGCTCAGTTCTCTTGGAGTCAAAGTCAAGGTATGATCAGGGCAGACCCCTTCTGTTCCCACAAAACAGTGAATTCAGTTTAATGATAGACATGCTGAAGTGTGTCAGGGAAGGTGCCTTGGTGCCTCAGAAATAACAGGGGTTGTTGGTAACTGGCAGGAAGGCAGAATAGGCAACTGCCAGAGTAAGCATGTATAGTAAAGTGGTGAGGATGGGCTAGCCACCAGCCAAGCCTTATCTGCTGTCATTTTTACTTTTTAATGTTTTTCTTTTTTTTTTACATTTATCTATTTTTATTTGATGTGTAGAAGTATTTTTCCTACATGTGTGTCTGGGCACTGAGTGTATGCAGTATTCACAGAGGCCAGAAGAGGGCATCGGATCCCCTGGGACTGGAATTATATTCAGTTGTGAGCTTCTGTGTGGGTGCTGGAAATCCAATCTGGGTCCTCTGGAAGAGAGCCAATGCTCTTAACTACTGAGACATCTCTCTAGCCCTGGGAATTCTCTTAATAAAATATTTGGGGGAGGGGGAGGCCAGTGGTGTCACTACTGAGAGAAAGCAGCCTTTTACTCATTTACAGGAGGCACTAAGTAATATCTAGAGACTTGGCTTTTTTTGTGTGCACATAATCTCACTGTAGTCTAGGCTTGTCCGGAACTTGCCGTGTAGCCTGGGCTGGCCTCAAACTCATGACCCTCCTGCTTTGGGCCACCATACTCAGTGTTAGACACCTTTGTGATAGTCATGCCTGGGGCCGTGCTACTGGTTTCGAGCAGAAAGAGGCCAGGGAGGCTGGCAAGCATCTTCCAATGCAGAGGGCAGACCCACAACCGAGCACAGTTCAGCTACACATGTCAGTGGGTGAAGGCTAGACTCACAACCGAGCACAGTCCAGCTGCACATGTCAGTGGGTGAAGGCTAGACCCACAACAGAGCACAGTCCAGCTGCACATGTCAGTGGGTGAAGGCTAGACCCACAACAGAGCACAGTCCAGCTGCACATGTCAGTGGGTGAAGGGCTAGACCCATAACAGCTGCACATGCCAGTGGGTGAAGGCTAGACCCACAACAGAGCACAGTTCAGCTGCACGTGTCAGTGGGTGAAGGCTAGACCCACAACAGAGCACAGTCCAGCTGCACGTGTCAGTGGGTGAAGGCCGAGGAGCCCTGGCATATTATGTAGCAGATTTGAATATATGCTTTCATATACGTGGGCTGTGTAGACATATGCATATGTTACTGTGACATGAAATTAAAGAATGAGACCGAGTTTCCTAATTCATTGCTTGTTTTCCCAAGTAATGAACTGCCTTCACACACTGCACCCCAGTGGCACTCACGGAGCTGTGCTGTACTGCTGGGCATGGCTTTATTTCAGGTGGTTTCCTGTCCTAGGTCAACTTCAGTAGACTCTGGGATGTCCCTGCCAGATGAGACTCTGTTCCATGTGGCAGATGTCCTTTCAGAGAGAAGACTCATTGGCCATCCTTGGGATCAACTTTGTTTTTCATATTTTCCTTGGCTGGGGCGGAGGTCATGCTCTTTCTTTCCTGTGGGTGTTTTTTTAGGGCGTGAGGCCAGCGGGAGGCAGTGTGGCATCTCATCAGCTCTGGCTGTGGATCTGGGGGAAGGAGAGCCGTCCATTCCAGCTGATTTTGTCTCCTTCTGTCTCCACCAAGGTCACAACCTGGCTCTAAACCCTGGCTTCTCCTTTCGGTTACAGGCCTCTTCTTCTGATGAAAAGAGAAGGGAAAGATGGACTACACTCACCAAACTGCCCTAGTCCCGTGCGGACAAGATAAATACATGTCCAAGTAAGATGTCTTGTCGTATTGCTCGGCCAATGCTGGGACTCCGCGGGTAGACAGAAGCCCCTGGGAGAGGAGTTTCACTTGTGGGAGCAGCTAAGCAGCTCAACGTGGACTAGGGAGAGCAGCGGCAAGATAACCAGCAGCTGTAGATGAAAACCTGCCTCAGGGAACCCAGCCTGGCCAGTAAAGGGGTGATAGGACACAGCACCTTTAGGAACTCAAACGAGGCTTCCGGAAAGAGGAGTTGGCTGACGTCTGCTTGCTAGACTCCGAATGTGTGTTACCACCACCACCCCCCACCCCACCCCACCCCACCCCTCCATTTCCCTCCGAAGTCTAAAGCCTATGGTGATGGATTGGATGTGGGCTTCTGTAGGGGTGGAACCCTTATCTGCAAAGTGAATGGCCTTAGAAAAGCCGGAGGGTGTTGGCTTATCCTTCTGCCACGTGAGGCAGCAGGGAGGAACCAGCCCTTGCTGAATGCTGACTCAGCTGTAGCCTCCTCCTGGACTCCTCGGCCTTAGCTGAGAAGTGAAATCCTATTGTTGTTAGGCCCCCTAGTCTAGTCTTTTGTCACAGCTCCCATAAATGGGCACAAACACGGCTCACGGCTCCTCCTGGGGTGTTGCCTATGGAAAGACCAGGCTGCGAGAGTGAGCCATGGACTGCCATGGCTCTGACTAAAAGAGGCACAGGTACCCTCTGAATAAAAGAGGCAGGTTCGGTGGGGCGTGGTGAAATACACCTTTAATCCCAGCATCTTGGAAGGTGGAGGATTGCCGGTTCAAAGCTAGCCTGGGCTGTGGCGAGTTCAAAGCCAGTCAGGTAACTTAGTAAAATCTTACCTCAAAATTAAAAAGAAAAAGGAGCTGTAGCTGTAGCTCTGGCTACACTTGCCTAGCACCCCCAAGGCCCAGTTCATTCATACTAGGAGGAGGGGAAAAGGAGAAGGGGCTGGTCCCTGGCTTCTGTACGTTAATGTCTCTGGAACAGGCTTTGTCGCTCAAACGACAGAGGTTGAGGAGACATTGATTCCAATCTCCTTGAGATCGGATCCAGGGCCTCACAGATGAAAGGCAAACCCTCCACACTAAGCTGTGCCTCCAGTAGGGATCTTACCTCTTGGATACTTCCCACCTTTAAAAATTATTTAGCTTATCTGAGACTCAGTTGTCTTAGACACTACACTTAGTCACATAGTGATGCCTGTTGTATGAGATCCAGAACATTCTCGAATCTTCACCAAAGGGTTTCCCTGGGGACTTCTAGTGAGCAGGAATTTTGAATAGCACAGTGAGCCTTTGGTTGGGTTTTTGTGGAGTCACATTTTTCTCTAACTCAGTCCAGCTTGTGTGGAATGACTCCTTCACTGAGGTTTAACTTGTCTGAGTTTCAAGGACTCTCCAGTGGGTTTGACTTCCACTGGGGCCCATACTCTCTCCGTTGGGGTCGAAATCTTCCTATTGGCCTGCTGGGTTTAGAAAGGCTGAGCTCTGTCACCTCTTCCCTGGGAAGCAGGCAGACACACAAGATGGGCAGCCTCCCAAGCTGGCACGTGTATCAAGCGTAGAAGATTGCCGGGGTCCCGAAGGCTCCTCTGGCCCATGTCTATTTACTGCTCCCCAATAGGTCTGGCTTCTTCTACTGAACGTAAGACACATGAGATTCATCAGTGTAGTATGTATATCCATTGCTGTGTTACTCCATTGTGACAGTAACTTCCTTAATTCATCTAGTCTGTTGATAGGCATTTGCTAAACATAACAGGGGTTTGTCAATGAAGCCCAATGCCGCAGACAGACACCTCCCCACCCCTTGCAAGCCTCATGGCCTGCAGTGGGATGCAGAAGAATGAAACTCAGACCTTTAAAATAAGAATGGATTCTATTGGCTGATAAACAGAGCTCAGGGCTAGGGCCTAGAGAAGGATTTGTGATAAGCATAAGGATAGATTTTTATCTGTGGAGGATGCCACGTTCATGGGGCCTCTTTCATAGGGATGTGGCCTATTTACTGTAGGATCGTGGTCTAAACAATGCTCAGGATATTGAGGGGATTCAGGTGGAGGCAGCCTCCTAATAGAATAGCAAAGACTCACCAGGCTGATTGACCACTTTTTACTCTGGCATTCCAGGTGACTAGGCATCTTTCATTTCCTTCCATTGAAGAAAACAGGCTTTTGTGATTGACAGTCTTGGTTTCTCCAATGCTTTAAGCTGAGCCTCCAAGTCATCCCTGTCAACTCCCTAAAAGGGCTAGAAGTCTCAGAGCTTTGTGAAAGCCGATAGCGGTCACCCTGTCCTCACTGACAGCAGAAAGAGAAAAGAAAGGCCAAAGAGAGGCAGGAGAAGTCCTGCTGGCACGGAAGGGCATTTGTCTGCGTCTGTGACTGATACCTGTTTGTCTGTGGGTTGGGGCCGAATGCTGGAGAGGCTGGTCTTTGTCTACAGGCTGCCATGATGGTCCCAGGCTGCTTCCTAATGTTGATCTTGGCCCTGATCATGGGGAAAGGTCGACGGGGTGGTTGATGCAGAACTCTTCGTGTGTGTGTGTGTGTGTGTGTGTGTGTGTGTGTGTGTGTGTGTGTGTGCATGTGTGTGTGCGCGTGCGTGTGTGTGTGTGTGTGTGTGCATGTGCGCGCACCCATGTGTTCATATTCTCAAAGGAGTGCTGAGGCCAGTTGGGGGGTGAGCAAGAGAGGGAATGATTGCCCTGTGGTGGCTTCAGCTGGCAATGTCATTCTCCCCCAAGGAATGAACTTCTCCTGCATCTGAAGACCTACAACTTGTACTATGAAGGCCAGAACCTGCAACTCCGCCACCGAGAGGTAAGGTGTCCCCACAGGAGGCCTGGAGGCTCCTGCCCTGGTAGGGTCCACTCTCTTTCCTGTTCCTCCTGCTATAGCAAATGACCCTAGGATTTAGGATGTCAGTGGGTCTCCTTCTTTTTAATTCATCCTGTATCTGTCTCTGTAAACTATAAAGATGCTTGTTAGAATAACTTGTGCTCAATTGTTCTTGGCTAACTAGAACACATTTTCAAGGGATCAGCCCCTAGTGATTTAGTTCATAGGAAGAGAGAGCAAGTGGTGAATGTCAGTTGCTGAGGCAAGCTATTGGGGAATAGAATACAAGGTGCTGTGGCCTTTCCCTGTCTCTTGAAGCACTTCACTTAGAGTCTTATTGCCGGTTAAATCCCACCCTGCTATTAAGCAAAGTAAAGGAGTGATGCCAGTCCCGGCCGGCTGGAAACCATATAAACAGCCCCGCCTACATAAAGCCTTCCTCCTTAAGAACACCAAATGCCCTAACATTGTTACATTCCTTGCCCATCTTGTTTAGTCTCACCCTCCCCATGAGGACGATCCTTTGGCCCAAGTCGGTTGATCACTAAACAGATGTTTGTGGCCCCCCTGTTCTGGCACTCATGAAAGCTTGGGTTCAGAAGGGAGAAAAAAAAGCCTGACCCTTGTAGGGGATTAGCTGGTGGCCGGGCCGTAAGCATGAGCCTTGCTTAGGACCTCGCACAGCTGCCCTGCTTCTGTCCTTGGATTACTTTGTGCAGCCGTGAATGCACAGCCTGGCAGACAACTTAAAAAGAGGGAGGTTCTGTTTGTGCTCATGGTTTCAGAGGGTTTGGTCTGTGGTTACCTGGCTTCCTGGCCCAAGTAGAACATGTGGCCGGAGAATTTCTTCACCTCATGGCAGATAGGAAGTGGAGACATATGGGAAGTTTCTAGAGAGCAGATAGAACCCTCAGTGACCCACTTCCTCCAGTTAGACACTCTTTCCTAAGGTGTCCACCAGCAAGGAACCAAACGTTTAGCCCATAGGTGTGGGGACATCTTGTAATCAAACCAGAAAGACCCTGTAGTTCCTCTCTGAGATCTCACAGCCTGAATAGGATTGGAGGGCTGCGTTTGGGGAGGTTTTACATTGAACATCTTGTTAGTCAACAACCTTTTGGTATAACTTAGAAATTCCTGAAGGATTTATTCACCTCTTGGGAAGTGTTGTGGTGTGTTAGATTATGACAAGCACAAGGGAGTTTCGCTTTAAAAAAATAATCAGATCAGCATGGCAGCTGGCAGACACTTGACACCTTTTAAGGCAACGGTTCTGCTCCAGGAGCGTGTTCTGTAAGTAAACTCGGGGAAGGCTTTGAGTCTCCGCCACCCAAAGTCAGGTCGGATTGCTAAACACAGGAAAAGAGCCAGCTCAAGGGTTTTTTTCTTGCTTCTAATTAGGAAGGCCAGTCTCTGTCACTTTAAGGACCTGACCCTCTCTCCCTCTCTCCTTCCTTCCATTTTTGTTTTTTTCCTCTCTCCCTCCCTCCCAAACATATCTTTTTTAGTTAGGTGCTCATTCTGTAGCTCATACTGGCAAGGAGCTGATAGCAATCCTTCTGCCTCAGCTTCCTGAGCACTGGTGCCCGAGGTGTGAGCTATCACACCTGGCCATTGTTTTCTGATTTCCTTAAAGTCATCGGGATAAGACCATACAAAGCCTTTGATGAATTGCGCATCTGTGTCTCAAGCAAAGAAACAGGATTTGGGGAGCGTGTTGCTGGGGAATCTCCCACACGCTGCCGAGAGCCTTCCCTCAGCGCAGCTCCTTCCCAGAAACCTCTGTGCTTCTGACCTTTGAGGTCAGCGGCAGGGAGCTGGAGACTTCACCAAAGTGCGAGCCTCAGAGCTAGGATTGGCACACCACGCGCATCCCGTGGGTCCGCTCTGGGCTCAGCACCCCGGTGGCTTCATGATAGGAAGAAGGCGAGTTCATCGTGGAGGGGCTGCTGAATATCTCCTGGGGGCTGCGCAGACCCATTCGGCTCCAGATGCAGGATGACCACGAGCGCATCCGTCCCCCTCCGTCCTCTTCCTCCTGGCACTCTGGCTGTAACCTGGGCGCACAGGGGTGAGTGAGGGGAGATGAGTTTGAGGGTGTCTGGGGCTCCTGGTCCAGGTCCTAGAACCCCCACTACTACCTGCCATGGTTTTTGGAAGGGGGAGGTAGGGGCCTCTGACCTGACTCCACAGGCACAGAGTGAGGAGGAGTGGTTCTGAGTCAGCGAGGGGAAGCACGGAGGAGTGGGGTGCAGAGGGTCCTCCCTCAAAGGTTCTTTTTGTTTTGTTTTGTTTTTCGTGACAAGATTTCTCTGTGTAGTTTTGGTACCTGTCCTGGATCTCACTCTGCAGACCAGGCTGGCCTCGAACTCACAGAGATCTGCCTGGCTCTGCCTCTCAAGTGCTGGGATTAAAGGCCTGCGCCACCACTGCCCGGCTTTTTTTTTTTTTTTTTTTTTTGGTTTTTCGAGAAAGGTTCTTGTTAGTGGCTCACTGATCCAAGCTTGCAGGCTTCTGACAGGACGCCAGCCCACACACATCCTCCCGGCTGGAATGGGCCTGCTCCAGGGACATCTAGGATTTGAACCTGCTGATCAAAGCTCTCTCTGTCTTAGTGGAACCTAATGAAAGAACAGGAATGTTCTGTCTGAGCCAACCAAGTGAGGTCAGCCAGGGGTCTCCCGTACACCTGGAACGGGTCATGGCACACAGGCAGTATTCTAGGAGGTCTCCTATTGGTCCTCACTGCAAGTCCCGTGAAGACCATGTCTGATCTCCCACCTTCGGTGGCCAGATGAACAACTGGTTGCCAGCACCCGCAGACCTTTTGTTCTCTCTCTGGGACTTCAGTTTTAAGATCAAGTGACTGGCCTTGTTCCCCCTGAAACTTGCTGAGGTGGGTGGCGTTCGGGCCAGAGCCTGGGTGGAGTGGGACGGCTGCTCGGCCAAAACCACAGTGACGTGCTTTCTACTTTAAAGGGGGAACTGAGCCCTCCCTCTCTGCTGGCTGCCTGGAACAATGTTACATTCCACAGCCAAGTGTATCATTCTCCTTAGTTGAGAAATATCTGCAGAACAGCCAAACCCTCGAATCAACTTTGGCTCTTCCCAAGAGAACGGAAGGAGGGAGGTTGTTGCCCCGCCCACTGGGCTTGGGGAAGCCTGGTCAAGGCTTTTGGGCTTGTTCTCAGCACTTTTACTGTGCTTCTGGGCTGGACCCTCCATGCCGGGCACTGACCTCTAGACTGTTACATTCTGTTCTTCAATAAGACCAGTTTAAAAATCCCGTTTTCCCCCATGCCCTGGGCTGCAGCTGCCCAGGGGTCCTTCAGTAGGCACTCTCGTTTTTTTCTCCACTCCCCATGATAACAAGCTGGTTCTTGAAGCCTGTAAATATTTTAAGGGCTTTCAGAAGCATGTCCCAGATGCCAGCACAACGTAAATGTTGCCTCCAGGACTGTGTGTGAGGTGCCAAGGCCAGTTTCTGCCCTGGACCCCAGAGAGAGGGGTGTCACCTGGGCCAAGCGCCTGCCAATCTCTGGAGGCTGCGGACTGAAGCTTTGACAGCCATAAGGAGAAATTCTCACAGCTTTTCAGTTTTCCTTTTCTTCCCTTGACGCCATCCTCCCAGGAACACAGGCCTTAGAAAGCCCCACTCTCCTCACCTCGGTCCTTATTGTCAAACAGACTGGTCCTTATTGTCAAACAGACTCTCCCTTCAGAGTGAATCCCCTGTTGGTTTCGGATGTGTTTCTCTGAGCTGCCTCCACTTCTCTTTGGGGCTCCCAGTCAAACCCGGGTCTCAGCTCAGGTGACCTGTTGTGGTCCCTTCTCCGGCTCGCAACCCTGAGAGCATTCCTCGCTCCTGAGCTGTAGATAGTTCCTGAGATATTCTTCCAAAGAAAGAAAGAAAGAAACCCAGCCTGGAATCGTGTCCTGAGAAAACGTGCTTTGAGACTCGGTGCAGGCCACACACAGGCTTTGTTCTGGGTCTGATGATGGATTGGGAGCTTGTGCTGGTACGGGTGGGGATGGCCACCTTTCTCCCGAGTTCCTCGCCCCCACCCAGCATTAGAATGTACCAGCCCCCTGGATGCTCACTCAGTGCAGCCTGCCGGCCTCTTGCCTGACCGAGGGGTGCTAGTGCCCTCCTGCATGGCATGGGCAAAAGCTCCCATTGCAGGAAGGGGGCGTGAAATTGGGACGTGACCTCTCGGGGGCTAAACAAGTCTGTCCTGTTTGTTTGCTACCTTCAGCTCCACCCTGAAGCCCCTCACCATGCCCACCGTTCAAATCTCAGAAGTGGATACGCCTGCTGAAAGCAGCGAGACACCCAGCCCCACAGGTATGTGAACAGCAGAGGAGCCTCCAGCTAGAGGCCATTTGAGTGACAGCGCCGTGTTTTAACTTGTGACTTTGTATAAATATATAAATATAAATATAAAACCCACATGGATCAATATCTTTAAAAAAAAAAAGTTAAAAGGGAAGAATTTTAAATCTCCCGCCTCCTCCTCTTTAGTTTCCCTCCCTTAAAACAACCTGCAGCATCCTTCCTGATGGAACAGGCAAATGCGTGCAAATTCATACAAATCCAGGCAGACGGCCTGCTGTCACCACTTGGAGTGGGCATGGCTCCTTCTCATCCTATCTCCGGACAAGTGACAGCTTTTGTCAGAAGCCCTATTCCCCCAGGCCCCTCACCAGTAGCAGCCACCATTTGACTTCCTGTCTCTGTGACTTTGTCTGCCCTGAGCGCCTCCTGTGAGTTGACTCACAAAGTACACACCCTTTCATGACTGGCTAATTTCAACCCAGCCGTCAAGGTTCTTCCATGCTGTGCCCTGTGGCAGCTTGGTCGCAGCATCTCGCACACCCTTAGGTCATGCTTAGCCTGAGTCTCAGGCCCTGTTCTCGGCCCTGTTCTATGTGTTAACTTACTTACACCCTCACTGTGATTCCACAAGCAGAGACTCCTGTTGCCCCTTCAGAAAACCGAGGCACGAGAGGCCAGGGAAGCACGGCTGGGAGAGAGCTGAGTCTGGAGAGCCGGCTCTGAGGCCTGTGCTTGGAACCTGTGCACTGCTAACTCCTCAGTAAACTGCGTGTTGTGTCTCCTCCGGCAGGAAATCATTTCATAGAGGGAATCGGGTTCAAGCGAACAGTTCACTTCTCCTCTTCCTCCTCAGACTCGAGGGGTCTGAAGCCCGTGCAGGAGGACACCCCACAGCTGATGCGCACGCGCAGCGACGTTGGGGTGCGTCGCCGTGGCAATGTGAGGACATCCAGTGACCAGCGGCGCATCCGACGCCATCGTTTCTCTATCAACGGCCATTTCTACAACCACAAGGTAGAGGAAAAACCTCGGGGACATCACTACTTTCTGGGCAATGGCCATGTGGCCTCGAGGGTGACGTGGGCACGGGACCCGGGAAGCCAAGAAGTTTTGGTTCAGTCTAAAGGTTGTGCGTGTGATGGAGGCTTTGCTGGCTTCTTGAGAGATTCAGGACTTCCCGGTGAGGAACAGTCCCCACCAGGCGTGGGAGATCTCAGTAGCCTGTGAAGCAGACTTAGCTTTCAGAGTTCCATGAGCACACCTCGTGAACCCTTCCCTTGCCTCGGCAGGTCAATCTGTGTAGTTAATTCCTGCTCCCACCCCTGGCCTCCCCCAGCACCCAGCACCCTGCGCTTTCCTCCTAGTGTGAGAAACACTGATCTTCACTTCATAATAAGAGTACTAGAGACCCGTCGTGAAAGTACAAGAGTACAAAAGTACACAGTACATTTCATGACTTTGCAAATCAGTGGCGTCCTAGAGAAAAGGTAGGCAGGCTGGAGGGCCATTTGGTATAAAACAAGGGTTTTTATATTCCTAATCACATTTAACGGATCCTTAAGTTCCCAGTTGGCTGAGTTCTTTAGAGAGGTACAATTCCCCATCCTATTGGCTCAGGATGCAAACCTTTCTAATTTCTAGCCTGGGACTTGAATTTCCCTCCTTTTCTGACCCATGGGCTCAGTTGGGTAGCAGACTGCCTGTGGCTTTTCAACCGCTAGGATGGACCGAGAGTGTTCAACCAAGTAAGCACCAGTACCAGCAGGAGAAGACAAGGGCTGGGTGCTGGTACCGCCTGCCTCTCTGTGACTCTCCAACAAGCTGTGCATGTACCCCCTGAAAATGAACCGTAATGATTTATTCTTCTCTGCTGCCATCTGGCCCCCTGAGCTGATGACTGTTTTTGAGCAAGGCTACAGGTCCCAGTTCAGCCCAGCATACTGCCACCTCGGGGACCCTGAGCCAACTAACCCTCCCTTTCTTTCCGCTGCTTTAATCCCACTAGAATCCTGTAAGTGCGTGGTGGGAGGCTGGCCGGAGACCACCTCATGCCCAAGTGCATGGTGGGAAGGTGGCCAGAGACCACCTCATGCCCAAGTGCATGGTGGGAAGGTGGCCAGAGACCACCTCATGCCCAAGTGCGTGGTGGGAGGCTGGCCGGAGACCACCTCATGACCAAGTGCATGGTGGGAGGCTGGCCAGAGACCACTTAATGCCCAAGTGCATGGTGGGAGGCTGGCCGGAGACCACTTAATGCCCAAGTGCATGGTGGGAGGCTGGCCAGAGACCATCTCATGCCCAAGTGCATGGTGGGAGGCTGGCCGGAAACCACCTCATGCCCAAGTGCATGGTGGGAGGCTGGCTTCTTCAAGGAAGGGTCTCTGTGAATATTTTGCTTATCTGATCTCACCTCTAACCCTGCTCTTTGGAGCTCAGTTTCCCAGGGGAGCATAGTCTGAGCTGGGCGAACTCTAAGGGCCACTTTGTTTGCATCCATGCCTGATGCTGGCCAGAGTGTCTGGGGCTCTCCTCAAGTACATTTCCAGTCCTGTCGCTGGGCCCCTTACTCACTGGTTTGATACTCAGGCCTTGTCCCCACTCCTCCCCTAAGCCAGACCCCTCTGTTGACAGACATCGGTTTTCACACCAGCCTATGGCTCTGTCACCAACGTCCGCATCAACAGTACCATGACTACCCCCCAGGTCCTGAAGCTGCTGCTCAACAAGTTTAAGGCAAGTTCTCTCAGTGGGCTGTGGGCCTCAGGGCTGTCAGGGTTGGGGCGGGGCGGGGGCGGGAGCTTGCCAAGTTCTCCCACGATTCTGCAACCCCAGATCCATTGCCTAGGGAATGGTGCCACCCACAGTGAGCAGATCCCCCGCCTCAATTAACATCAGGATAGCTCCCACAGACCTACAGACTCTAGACATCCCTCTTTGAGGCTCATTTTCCAATGATTCTAGATTATGTCAAGATGACAATTAAAACACCAAGTATTTACTTGTAGCGCAAATCATAACTGTTCGTAATAATAAAAACCCAGAGCCAGATATCGGGGTAAATGCTGAAAGATCAGAGAGACAAAGGAGCAAGCCATAGCCACCTCTTACCTCGCCAACTCCTCGGCTTGAAAAAGGGGTTGAGCTGGGAGGGGTAGTGGGGTGGTGGCGCACGCCTTTAATCCCAGCACTCGGGAGGCAGAGGCAGGCGGATCTCTGTGAATTTGAGGCCAGCCTGGTCTACAGAGCGAGATCCAGGACAGGCACCAAAGCTACACAAGGAAACCCTGTCTCAAAAAACAAAAAACAAAAGAAAAAGGGACTGAGCTCCTGTCTCCTTCTGCCTTACATTCCTCTCTCCATCCAGTCATATCACTTCCTGTGTCCACTTCCCTAGTGCTGGGATTAAAGGTGTGTGCCACCATGTCTGGCCTCTAAGGTTAACTAGTGGCTAGCTCCACACTCTGATCTCCAGGCAAGCTTTATTTGTTAGATCACAAACAAAATATCACACATTTACTTTTTTTTTTTTTGAGAAGAGACCTCACTATATTGCCCAGATTGGCCTCAGGAGAGCCTGTGGCCTCAGCCTCCTGACTGGCTGGGACTCTATGTATGAGCCGAGCTAGTATTCTTTTTCTTTTTTTTTCCCCAGTGATTTTATTTTTATCTATATGTTCAGGTTTTTTTGTGTTGCTAGGACCCAAAGCCAAGTCCTCACACTGAGCAACAAACACCCTCAGCCCTTGTATTCCTGTGTTCTTAAATTTTTTATTTATTATCTGTGTATGCTTGTGCCATGGTGTGTGTGTGTGTTTGGGGGCGTGTGCCACAATGCATCTGCAGAAGTCAGGCGACAACTCTGTGGAGTCCATCCCCCCCCCTCCACTTTTTATAGGCTCTAGGGATCAAGCTTATGTGGCGAGCATCCTTGCCCATTAGCTGTCTTACTGGCTAGAGTTTTCTTTTTCATGGAACCAGTGCAACCTAGGACACAAGGCTCTGAGTTTGGGTCCCCTGGCACCACCTGCCAGGTGGCTGAGTAGGGCAAGTTGCCATAACCTTTCTGTGCCCCAGCTTTCTTATTTGTAGGAGAGTGGTGCCCACGTGTTATGGGATGTCATGGTATGAGATGAGTGAACACACATTAAAAGTGTGTTAACTAAACCAGTCCAAAAGCTTGAAATCTAAAATGCACCAACCTCAGAAACTTTGTGAGCAATGACGTGTGACTCAGTCGTCATCTCGGGTCTCAGGTTTTTGTAGAAGGAAGCTAACTGGTAAAACTCCTGTCCAAATCCCCAAACCTGAAACATGTCTTCTCCCGAACATTGCGGGTGAAGGATGCTCTGATGCTATTATTGACTGGCATGATTGACTACAAGGCCCTGACTTTGCAGAAGCCTAGAGTCTGGTTTGGAGAGTGGAGGCAGAGGGAATGGCTCAAGGCTGGGATGTTTCACCGAATTGTTTTTTGTTCTCGATTCAGATTGAGAATTCGGCAGAGGAGTTTGCTCTGTACGTGGTCCATACTAGCGGCGGTGAGTCTGAAGAGCACAGTACACTTCAAATCCTTCAATTAACTCAAAATAGCAAGCTCAAAACAAAATCCTCTATTCCATGGTTGATGTTTCCTAAAATTCTAAATGCTGTTTGTCCCCAAGCCTGGTGGGCTTGAGGGACAAGAGCCCCGGAGAATGCCATGTGGGCAGTAATACTAAATCCCCAAACTTAACTGCCTATTAGGAAATGAACTGGAGTGGCATCTTCCAGAGGGTCTGAGGCATGGTAGTGTATGTCGGGGGGGGGGGGGGGAGCGGGGAGGCTAGTATGTGTCTGTATGGGGGGCTGGTATGTGTGTGTATGGAGAGCTAGTGGGGGGGGTAGTATGTGTTTGGGGGGAACTACTTTTAACAACAGATGGTGAGTAGTTCATCCCAACACAGTCTGACTTGTGTGGCCGCATCTCCTAAGTTGCCTGTTCCCTTTGGAGCCCTGAACTGGCCGCCATTCCTGGTGAGAAAGGTCTTGGGGCTGAGCTCAATCAACCTTGATGGTGTTGCTTTCAGAGAAGCAGAAGCTGAAGAACTCCGACTACCCCCTGATTGCCCGCATCCTCCAGGGCCCATGTGAACAGGTCTCCAAAGTCTTCCTGATGGAGAAGGACCAGGTGGAGGAGGTCACCTATGATGTGAGTCCCTTGTGGTTGGTGGTCTGCCCTCAACAGCAGGGGGTGGGGGTGGGGCGAGGAGACTTATTGGTTACAGCATGATCTTTTTTTATTTTACATTTATATTTTTTATTTTATTTTATTTTCCAACCACAGATTCCCCCTCTCATCCCTCTTCCCGCTCCCCCCAGAAGCCCCCCCCCCAAACCTGCCCTATTCCCTCCTCCAAAAGGGTAAGGCCCTCCATGGGGAGACAGCAAAGCTTGGTACATTCAGTTGAGGCAGGACCAAGCCCCTCTCCACTGCATCAAGGGTGAGCAAGGCGTCCCGCCATAGGTAATGGGCTCCAGAAAGCCAGCTCAGCAGCATGACCTTTTAACCAGAGCTCTGTCCCCTGTGGCTGCCCTGCTTTAATAGCAGGTTCTTTTGACAGCCGTGGAGGGTGGGCCCTGTGGGGATTGTTAGAGGACTGCATTTCTTGAGCCTCCCGAGGGTGCTGGGGTTCTGAGAGCTTGGGAAGCACGCTCCCAACACCAAGGACTCAGCAGGGAATTTCTTTTCTCGGGTGTTAGTTGATACAGTAACAAGCACCCCCAAATCCAAGCACCTTATAACCCTCACCATTCTCCTCATGATTCTGCAGCCCTGTGCTAGGCTCTGGGGTGAGTATGTATCTTATTCAGACCCCGCTGAAGGGCAGCGGCTCCCGGGGCTCTCCTCCCCACAGTAGGTGGTTTGGAGCATAAGAAACTAGTACAGGGCCTGGGGAGATGGTGGGTAAAGAGTTGCGCATGTGTGAGGAGCTGAGTTCGAATCCCCAGGCCCCACACGTACCTAGGTGTGGCAGCAGGTGTCTGTAATTTCAGTGCCCTACCGTGAGATGGGAGGGGAGGCAGGGGACTCCCCAGGGGTCTCCTCACCTCGTGGGCCTCCTAGCTTGTCACATACAGTGGCACACAGCAAAGAGACTGTCTCAGACAAGGTGACAGATGAGGTTTTCCTCTGACCTGCACACCATGGTGCACGCCGGCCCTTTACCTGAGCACCTGTGCTCACACACGTGCACCTGTGTGCACATTACACACACATTTTTGAAATTTTCGAAAGAACTAGTCCAAACCGTGGAAGCTCATTTGAAGCCTCCACTGAGATGGAGAGTGCCAAGTATACAAAAATTCCAGTGCCCCCTCCCAGCCCCCCGAAAGCGACCCCGGCAAGCTCAGCACTTGTAGGGTGGAGGGATACCTGGAGGAGAGTTGAGAGAGCAGGGCAGGGTTGGTTTTGTTTGGTTGGTTGGGTTTGGTTTTTTCAAGACAGGGTTTCTCTGTGTAGCCCTGGCTGTCCTGGAACTCGCTCTGTAGCCCAGGCTGGCCTCGAACGCAGAGATCCGCCTGCCTCTGCCTCCCCAGTGCTGGGATTAAAGGCATGCACCACCACCACTCAGCTGTTTTGTTGTTGTTGTTTGTTTGTTTGGCTGGGGAGGGAAAGCTGTTTCTTTAACTCTCTGGAGTCAGTCACGTCCCTGAAGCAAGTGCCTATTTGGATACCCAGAGACTGGAGACTGAATCTGGGCTGTGATGACTCCTCATTCCCTCTGGGGAGAACAAAGCAGTTTACTAAGGTCTTCTTTGGGCTTTGGTTTGTTGCAGTTCTAGGGATGAAACTTAGAGCCTACCTCCACCCTGCCAGCCCCAGGAAGGAATAGAGCCCATCCCCACCCCTACCCCCACCCCCACCCCCACCCCCAGCCACACTCCCAGCCCCAGGAGCTCTTTCTCTGAGTCAGTATATGAAAGGAATGTACTTTTCTGTTTGAAGTCACCAGAGTTGTGGCTCACAGTAATGAAATGAAAACTGAGAAGTGCCAAGATAGAATCATGTAAATGCAGGCTTCTTCGTGCAGACTTGACCAGCCTGGGGTAGGAGGAGGAAATCCTGGCTTAGTGGGGAAATAGATTTCTGAAGACTTTGTGCCTTGAGGAAAGTGATAGCAAAACTTTTTATAACAACAGGACTTGATCCCCCTCCCCAGGTGGCCCAGTACATAAAGTTTGAAATGCCGGTCCTTAAAAGCTTCATTCAGAAACTCCAGGAGGAAGAGGACCGGGAGGTGGAGAAGCTGATGCGCAGGTGAGCACAGCTTTTGAGTGAGACTGGGTTTCAGGGCCGCGCTGTTAGCTGCCTGGTGGGGACTGGTACCTGCGGGCTGCCCACTGACAGACCAGATCTCAGACAGGGACATGAGCACCGGGTTTTCTGTTTCCCACTTCTGTGTCAGCTGCTTATTGGATATGAGATCCCCACTATCCTTTCCTTTTATGAAAGAACTCTGGGAAAGAATGTGTTGGCTTCAAATCTCTTTGGAATCTGGATTTAGAAATAGGGAGGTCCCTTTCTCTTGGGTCTTACTCTATTGTCTGTCTCTGTAACCAAACACTCGGGGCTGGGTAATTTAAACAGAAAAGAGATGCATTTAGCTCACAGTTCTGGGGTGAGGTGTAAGGGCACACACGGCCCACATCTGCTTGGCTTTGGTGAGGGCCTCATGGCAGATGGTGTGGCAATGATAATCACACACGAGACAGGAAGCTAGAGAGGGAGGGACTTGGGGTGAGTTTTTGATAAGAACTTGTTATTTGAAGAACTAACTGGAGTCTTGTGAGACTATATTAATTCGACTATGACCCAACATCACCATGTGGAGACCAGGCTCCACACACACACACACACACACACACACACACACACACACACACACACACACACACACGAGCCTTCGGGAGGAGGCCCGGTCAGACAATGACTTGGTGCTGTCACCGCAGGGCGACGAGGCTCCCAGAAGGAAGCTGGCATTCCCTCAGATGAGGCTCAGAGTCTGAGGTTATTTGAGGACAGAGTCTGAAGGTCAAGTGAGGGTCCACACAGGTTCTGGGGCATGTCCCAAAGGGGTGCAGGCAAAGAATGCTAAGACACAGATACTCTGGGAACCTTAGGAAGGTGGTCTGCAGAGCAGAGATGGCCTGAGCCGTCCACTCTAAAGTCTTTCCCGTCCTTCCTCCCTTTAGATGTGTTCTTCTGGAAACTTCATTTGGGTTGAAGAGTACAGCAAAATTCTTTCTGGGAGGAATCGATGATTTCATTTTAGTCACAGAGTAGACGGCCTTTTGTGGATATAATAGAAGGTCGTTAATCTGGTGTTGGAGGATAAAGCTAAATATTTATTTCCTGTTTTCACTGACATTTTATTGAACACTTGCTATGTCCAGTGATGAGAGCTCAGAGGCAGGATGGTTGGGCTCTGGTGTTGCTTGGGTGGCGGGGGAGCGGGGGCAGGGGGTAGGGGAACACGAGAGGTGTATTGTAGACTGCCGTCTACTTCAGGCTGCTTTTGTTCCCAGGTACACTGTGCTCCGGCTAATGATTCGGCAAAGGCTGGAGGAGATAGCAGAGACCCCCGAGACTATCTGAGCCACAGGAACAAGGGAAATCCAGACACTCCAGGGGCCCCTGCTGACCTGAAAAGACCCATGGGAAGCTAGGCACTGTCCTTCCACAGAAATGTTTCCACCCGAACCTCTGCAGCGCCCCGCCAAAGCCAGCATGGATCCCTGGAGTAGGACACAGAAGCTGCAGAAGCCCCCCATCTCTGGATCTCTGCTCTCCTTTGTTCCATTCTCAAGAGCTTTCATTTCTAGGAGGACCCGCAGTGTGTGTTCACATACCCGAGTGTGTGTGTGTGCGCTCACATACCTGAGTGTGTGTTTGCGCTCACATACCTGAGTGTATGTGTGTACACACACGTGTATGCGTATGTGTACTTATTATGTCCATATGCCTCTCTCATGTTTTCACATGCAATTAAATTCCAAGCAGCCAGCACAGGTGCCATGAGGCTGGCAGACATACTGCTCCTGGGCAGGAAGAGGAGAGGAATAGCTAAGGCTGGTTTTGGCTTCTTCGAGTGCCAACGGCAGTCACACATATCTGCCATGTTTGAAAGGGAAGAGGATTCTGCAGGCTCACCATTTGGAATGTCTGAAGGTTTGTAGCAGACATTCTCCCCATTTGCCAAGAAGGATGGGTGACGGTGAGACCCTTGGGAATTGGTGAAGTGACAGCGCCATGCCCTTGGGGCAGGTCCAGGGAAATGGAAAATGAGACCGCTGCGGGGCAGATGCAATGAGTCCGTGAGTTTTTGCACTGGAAAGGTTGTCGTTGGAGATAGCACAATGAATGTCCTCTGCTATGTGGACGTCCACCTGGGAGAAATGGCTTCTGCCTCTGTTCTTGGTGTTTGGACGCTTCTGGGTGTTTCTGCTCTCTCAGTTGCCACTCCAATTCTTGGGGTCCTCCTTGGCTTGAAGAAACATCTTCTGAAACGAAAGTGTCTGGAGTGCATACAACTCTGACCTGCTCATGTGTCAGGGCTGGGTATGTACTGAGATAAATGGCATCCAGAAGTTTCTAAGCACCAGTGGGGCTGAAGGGAAGGATAGAGGCCACCTGCTGAAATGACAGGCGCCTTCAAGCCCTTGCACACCATCACATCAGTAAGAGTTGTCCCCGCATGGAGTTGAGGCTTTGCATTTGAAGCTAACATGTTATTCCTTCTGGCCTCTGCACACTTGCAAGCTCCTTCACCTTATACATGGAGATGGACTCTGAGAATGAAGACGCGTCTTGTTCTTGAGTCAACATAGGGATCAAGGATTTCTTTGGGGAATCCCATGAAGTGTGGACAGAGAGGACAGTGCTCACTTAGCCTCTGAGCAGCCGTGCTGCTGATTTTTCAAATCAGCCTCATTGGCACAATGGGCAGGGATGGCCCTGTACACCCTCCATTAGGGACACTGTCAGGTAGCTGGCCGCTTGTGTGGCTTGTGCCATTTGAGGAGGGACAGACAGATTCTCGGAGCTTGGTGCTGGTCTATGAAATGCAACCAAGCAAGATGAGCAGCCTGTAACTCAGGCATCTCTGAGCCTCACTGCCACAAAGTGCCCTTCCCTATCTGCTCTCAAGAAAGCTCTAGAAGCGGAGCAGTTGAGGGACCGAGGGCCCCTGACCAGAGTGCCTTTTAAGGAAGGTGGACCTCTGTAACAGACCTATTCCTGTGTAACTGTGTTGCTGTTCTCCACCCTCCTTAGAAGGTCTCATTGTGGGCTTTCAAATGATGGCTTGTGGCCGGCCATTTTGCTGGATGCCACTTAGCAACCTAGCTCCTCTGCCGGGGTAGCACCGTCCATCCTATGGGCAGTGTGATGGGAACCCAGAGCGCCTTGGTCTCAGTCGTACACTCCAGTGGACATGAGCAAAGCACAAAATTAGGGGCAGGGGAGGCAGCTTCTCTGATAATCAGAAGCTTCGGTGGACTTCAGTAAAACATAAAACTCTGCAGGGAGCTGGGGGTCCTTTATTACAGATGAAGAGCAGCTTTGCAGATGCAAATATTTGAGAAAATGATTTGGATAATTTCCCTTCCAGTTATTTTTATCTTGACTCTTCAGAGCCTATACTGCCCCATACTTCTCCTTTGGGAGCTAGGGGGCTTTCCACAGAGCACTGTCTCTTACTGGGAAAGGATTTCTGGTTTATAAAGGTTCTTTGTGACCCTGTTAATCTGTGACTGTTGGAGAGTATCGGATTGCCAGGCTCTCCAAAAAGTGTTGCCAAGGTGATGCCTTTTAAAGTGTGGGGTTCAGAAAGAGAGTTGGGGTACATATCCACTAATCCATCTTGGCCCATCCCCTAGAATCATTTCTCACATCCATATAACTGATCAAGAATTTTAGGAACTTGGCTGGGCATGTGACTGGGTAGTAAAGCACTTACTTAGCATGTAAGAAGCCAACTTCCATCTCTAGTACCACAAGAAAAAAGCAGCTGGGTGTGGGTAGAGGGATTACTTAGTATGTTAGGACCTGGTTTCCGACTCCAGCACCAAGCGCCACCCCACCCCATGAACTTTGGAAACCTTTAAAATAGCCGCAGCTAAACAGACCTTTATGGTGGCGACTGGATTTTCTCACTGGTGCCACTTGGCTTCGAAGCCTTGAACCTCAAGATTGATTCGTGTAGGTTTATGTAATTGTGTGCAATGAACCTGAAATCCTGTGGAATAAAAGACCAATGCATGGGGGGTGGGGGGAGTTAATCCAACTTGTGAAAAGTGATTTGGCCTCATCTGAACTCCTTTTTCCCCTGAAAAGGCTTATGTGACAAGGCGGTCACGTGAAGAGGACACCCGACTCCATCTGAGTGGGGTGGGGAAGTCAAGCACAGGCTCACCTTCTCAGCGACCACACTGGTGGGAAGGTGACGGCTCAAAGCAGGTGTGGGCGTCAGTTGGAAAGGGGCCCAAAGCACAAACACCAGCCTGCCTGGGCTACTGGTGAAGGGCACACTGCTAACACTGGACAGACAGCAGCCAAGGCTGGGGAGAGAGCCTCAAGAGGACATAGAGCCCAAGGCCAAGATGTTGGTCGGAGTCATGATGTTCTGAGAAGAAATATTTGCACCCTTCTCCTTTCCTAACTATTTCTAGAAACTTCCAGATAAAGACATTTTATCGTTTTATCTGTGGCATATGATCATCTTCCAAAATCTGTTGTCCATGCAAAAACAGCTTGGCAGGGATTGTGTTTTGTGGGTTTATTTGGTGTCAGGAGGGTAGATGAGGAATCTGGCCGAATGGCAAGCACACTCAAGAAATACCAGCTCTTAGAAAATGACAAGAACAGTAAAACCTCAAAACAAAACCCATAGTTTATTTGAAGCTTTGTAACTTGGAGAACTTGGGGATCAGGGATACATTTCCAAGCAAGAAATATGGCCAGTGACCAAAGGAGTCTTAGTGTCCCACAGCAGAAGGCCGCCCTGAACTCACTCCCACAGCCTGCCTGCTTTGAAGTTTTTACTTGGGTTGTTTTCTGTCAAGTCTGGCTTCTGCCAGATGGGAGAGCATCGGAGAGATAAACCCCGTGTGCCATCCCTTCCTTCAGACATAATTGAAAGTGTTCACCAAGTCTTGGGATACACCTCCCTCCCCTCCTCATGCTCCCATTAAACTGAGCACTGAGGTGCTTAACTGTGAACTTTTGGAAAAGCCTCAATCTCCAGGCTGCTGGCTTCTGGGGTTCCTACTAGTATTCCTTCAGGTTTCCTCTTAGTTGTGTGGAGTCTTTTTTGCTTTGTCATAACTCACCTATTAGGAATGGTACACGACTTGGTTCAACCGTGGGTTCTGAACTAATAAACAGATGTCCATAGGCCTCAGTGGTTTTGTAACCTTTTATTGAAAAAAATTTTTTTTAATGCACCTGACTTAGACCTTATTTAAATAAAGCCGTTTTAGAAGAAAGTCCCTGTGGGTTCGGTCTGTAGGTCTTGGGAGGGGAACTCTGCTTCTAGAGGTCAGTTGTAAGGTGGAGGGTGGGTCTTGGGAGGGGAACTCTGCATCTGGAGGTTGGTTATAAAGTGAAGGCACAGTTCAGCTCCTAAGCCAAGTTCCTTCCCCTGGGGTTTATGGCTTGAATGTGCCCAGACTTAGCTGTAATGTTTTTTAGTCCATTTGGGGTTGCTATAACGAAATAGCAGAGAGCTAGAAACTTATGAAAACTTACAGCTCATATTCTGGAGCCTGTAAGGTCTACAAGCATGGAGTCAGCGCCTTTGTGATGTATGGTGGGATCAGATAGCAAGACCGAGAAGACATGCGAGAGAGAAATCCGTTTTACAGATTTGTTCTATTTTTTTTTTTTTTTTTGGTTTTTCGAGACAGGGTTTCTCTGTGTAGCTTTGCACCTTTCCTGGAACTCACTTGGTAGTCCAGGCTGGCCTCGAACTCACAGAGATCCGCCTGGCTCTGCCTCCCGAGTGCTGGGATTAAAGGCATGCGCCACCACCGCCCGGCAGATTTGTTCTATTTTGTCAGTGTTGGGAGTTGAACTCAGCCTTGGGCATGCTAAGGACAAAACCTCTCCTACAATAGCCCACGATCCTACACACCATGAGCAGATTATTCCGTTCGCCAGGGCAGAGTTCTAATGACCCATCACCTCACAGCACTTCTGCCACTGGGGACAAAGTGAATTTGGGGAACACATTCAAACCACTGACTCTTTCAGATCAGAAGAAAAACATGTGTATTCTTCTGTGAGTCTAGTTGAGGCCACTGGTACACCGAGTGTGGTAGAAGAGCTGGGGCCTGCCGCAGAGTGGGGCTGGATTCCACCCTGAGGGCATCCTGGCTCATTAGGATTCTGAATGAATCTGTTCTGCAAACCATGCTTGGGGACCCGGCCCTGCTTCACTGGAAGCACCCACTGAGTGGTCTCCACGAGCATGGCTTTCAGACTGCCACCTAAGTTCCACTCTGGTGAAGCTCTGAGTGCACGGTGGCTGGTGGCAGTTGTCCACTTGGTTAGGCCATAGTCCAAGATGTTGGATCAAATGCTGGATGTTGTTGTGAGTTTTTTCTTTGGTTGGTTGGTTGGTTTTTGTTTTTTAGGTGAATTTAACATTTAAATCAGTAGACTTGGAGTAGATTACCCTCCACAATGAGGATGGGCTTCATCAAAGCAACTGGAGTCCTTTAAAAAAAAAAAAAAAAGACTGAGTCTCCAAGGAAGGAGTAGTTCTGCTTCCAACCTGTCCTGTACTTCCAACTTGAACTGTAACTTCAGCTGCATAAGCAAATGCCTTAACACATCTCTTCTCCGTGTGTGTGTGTGTGTGTGTGTGTGTGTGTGTGTGTGTGTAATCCAGTCAGATCTCTCTATCTGCAGATTCCATGTAATTGGATTCAACCAGCTGTGGGTTGAAAGTAGGCATTTATTTATTTATTTTTAATTCCACAATGTTCCCAAAGGCAAACTTGAGTTTGTCATGTGCTCTACAGAGTCTGAGTGAATGCAGCGGTTGTAGGCATGGCCGGCCACAGCTCCTGTGTTTCCTAGTTCCTCTGTCCTGCTCCAGCCAGCACTCATTTCAACACTGGTTGGCTTGTGTCTTATTCCACTAATTCCTTGTGAGTTCTACACACACACACACACACACACACACACACACACACACTTTGTTCTGTCTCTCTAGAGACTCCTGACTAATGCAGAGGGGAAGGATGGTTGGTTGGTTTATAAAACTTGAACATGTGATCTACAGTTGTCTTCCTGGGGAAACCTGGTCAGGAAGGATAAAAATGACCATACTTTGTTCTCTAGAACAAGAAAACAACCAAGAAAGGATTTTAATGATGTTTCCTCAAAATGCAGCAGATTTTCATGCTGCATGTCACAGGGGTGTTGGTGACATAGACAAGAGACAAATGGTTGGTTTGGGGTCTCACAAAGATCCAGGCACACAGTAGGTCTCATAAAAGTCAGTGTCTAGATTATCCAACAAATATCAGCAACCTGCAAGGGAACTGGCGCCTCTTGCTGTGCTTTGTGGAAATGGGTTTGATTTGGTGTCATGTTGTCTGTCTCACATGCTGTAGTTCCTACCCAGTGGGGTTCTGAGTTCAAGACTCTACTGGTAGATCTGAGATGCACCTCCGTAAGTTACTGGGATACTTAAGGATAAGCAAACACTACTCAAAACTGAACTTGGGTAAAATCGCCATTGCTACCTTTAAAGTGACCCAAAACCAAAACAATCCCCCTCCAAAACCATCAGTACTGATGATTCAAAAACACATGTGATTTACATATACACTCACTCTATATAAGTGACACATTACTAATACATATTTATAAATTATGTTATATTTACAAGTTTTAAAACTGTAGGCACATTGGTAGGAGCCACATGGGAAATTAACAGCTATGCTTATTTATCATCCTAGTCATCATTGAATGGGCACAACTTTTATCAATTATACCTCAATAAAATTGATTTGCTGTACAATATGAAATGGTTGCTACAGTAACATTAATTAACACATTCATCATCATGCAGTTACCACATTGAATGTCTTGGGGGCAGGGTTGTAATGTAAGGACACTTTGGTTCTACTTTCCCAGAAAATTTCAAGTAAACAATACAGTATTAACAACCACACTCCACAATTAACAACCACAGTTAACACCATGTTGAGTTCTAGAATTGATGAATCTTTTTTAATATATCAATTAATTAATTTTATGTGTATGGGCATTTTATCTGCATCTCTATATGTGCACCCTGTGCATGCTTGGTGCCTTCAGAGGCCAGTAAAGAGTGTTGGGTCCCCTGGAGGTGGAGTTACAGATGGTTGTGAGCTGCCATGTGTGTCCTGGGAATCTAACCCACGTCCTCTGGAAGAGCAGCCAGTGCTCTTAGCCACTGAGTTGACCTTCTAAATGATAGCTTCTGTCCTGACCTTTTGGATGTCACATGCAACAAAAGCAAACACCTGGAACTCTGTGTAACTACATGGAGCTGAGAAGCTTCCCCACATGGCAAGCACAAGGCCCTGGGTTCGGTCCTCAGCTCCAAAAAAAAGAAAAAAAAAAAAAGAAAAGCTTCCCCATGGGACGAGTGGAGACTTTTGTAAAACACATATCTGACAAGAGGTTAGTGTCCTGAGTGTCACTCCACAACTCTTGACCCTGAATGCCCCCTGCTAGTCACCAAGCCCCTCTGAGTTGCCATGGACCCCCAACCCACACCTGCATAACCGCCTGGGGTCAGCAGTACCAAGGCAGAGCACCCCAGGCTTCTGGAAGGGTAACTGAAGCCAAGATTGGGGCAGAAGGAATAGGACAGCGTGGGTGTGTCCAATTAATGGAAGGTAATTATGTCTCAGAGATGTCTGGGGTTTTAGTTGGGGAAGAAACTGTTGAGAACTCCCACACATATCAAATAACTGTCTGGTACATTCAAAAGCTTTGATCCAAAATGATCCTGGGTAAAGACCTAAAGATGAGGACTATATATGAGAAATATAATTTTGGTTAAAGTTCCATAATCAGATTTTGGCAGTCACACAAATTGACACCAAAATTACGTAGTTTGGCCCAAAGCTCTTGAACAAAACAAACCAGAAGTAACAACATCTATGACCCAATAAAAGAAGCCAGAAAGTATAGGCTGAGTCTAATGTCTAGAGATGAAGCAGAGGAAACATTAAATGAATTTTCAAAGTTGCTAAAACAATGGGAATGTATAAAATATATTGTATTTCTAGGTATAGAATCTAATATAAGATGAGAAAATAAAATGGAAAAATAGACTTTATCCACAGATTAGAAACGTAGCAGGCTCCCCAAATTTATCTATAGACTCAGGTAACCTCAATATACCAAGGAAGTCAGCCTTCTCTCCCTGTGTTGCTTTTCATCAGGGTATCTGTCACAGCAGCAGAAAGGAAACTAGAGCAGTTACCATGGAAAGTGATAAAAGAGCATGCTCGATACACATGCAGGCAGATGTGTAAAAGTCCATGAAAACAAAAACTGCTCGATACACATGCAGGCAGATGTGTAAAAGTCCGTGAAGACAAAAACACAATGATGGAGTTAGGTTTTCTTTAGATTTCTATTATGTGGGCTTTTACATAAAATTTCTTGTTTACTAAATCCAAAGATGTGGATCTCTCTCTCTCTCTCTCTCTCTCTCTCTCTCTCTCTCTCTCTCTCTCTCTCTCTCACACACACACACACACACACACACACACACACACACACACACACACCACTCCATGCTCCCCCACCCCTCACAGGCACCCGGGACCTGGGCTACGAGTTCAAGAACCGGGTGAGAGTTGAGAGATAGTGGTAGTGATGATTATTTCTGGACTGACTCAGGCAATTATCAGATAGAATTAATAATTGCCTCAGATGCCTTTTCTGGTGCCTGCTCAGAATATATACACTAAACCAACAACACATGACATGAAAATTACCCAGCTGACTGATCTTAAAATGCCCGCAGAATTCCCCACCCTCAAAACCTCAAGGATCCTGAAAAATCCATGTAAATCCTCATGTTAGTGTTTTCGAGCTTCAGTGAGTAACAGAATCAACAGGAACTTGCCCCTTAGCCTGCTGGGCCACAGCAGTTCCTCATTCTGCAGAGAGGTGGATGGAGATTTGCATCTCTCTCTTGGAGTTCTCACGAGATGGTGGTGTTTAGGTCAGGGTACTTTTGTGCTTCTCTACATGAATCTGAGGCATACATTGCCATCACCTGGGCAGTTTCTAAAAATGCTGATGGCTATAGTACATACTAAGAGATTCAGATTCTATTTTGGGGTGTGTGTGGCTCCTAAGACTGGTCTTCTTTTGTTTTTAAAA